GCCTGGCAAGCTACCCATGACGTATTCGATATGCCAAACACAGTAACAACAAGTCTCATGATGGAGACGTTACTGGGCCCGCTCGAGCAAATCGATGAACAACGGGAGGACGGTGACCGTAATTAATTTGGTAATCAAACATACACATTTATACTAACTAGAACTAGCAAAAGACATTTACCTTAAATTTTCTCTACAGGGTAGTATTCCAAATTGCTTATAAACTACTGTCTGAGTAGTATTAGACTACATTAGAATAAGTAATTAAAATGGGGGCAGGAGGGCGCATTTCCAGCAATTCTAGGCCAGCTGTGCTTGTGGCTCAGTGTGAGGACCTGAAGATGCAGTGGTTCTTCCAGGGCCCCATGGAGCCAAGGACTGCCCAGGTGACCCCAGGTCACTCCAGGGCTGTACCCTAGCAATGCTCAGGGGATGGGGGGCTTGTAGTCCTGGGCATCAAACCAGGGTTGGCCACATGCATGGTATGTAATTTAACCCCTGTATTATCTCTCTGGCCCCAGTAATTAAGATTTGAACAAGAAAAGATATCACAAAGCCCATGCAGGAGTTCTCTTTTCCAAGGGGACTCCTCAGGAACCGGAGCGGTAACAGAGCTGAAGTGTAGAAAAGGAGAAATTTTGCCACATCTTCACAGACTTACTTCTCCTTGCCCTCAGGAAGTCAAGAGACCTGCGTGTGAGACTTGGAACTACCTGGAAGGCCAGGGTAGAGAGACAGATTGTTCTAGAAACCACCAGAAATCTGAAGGCAAGTCACATCTGATACCTCTGACCTCTCACAAACATCAATAACTCCCTTTGCTGCACTTTTATTAATGTGAATGTTCTGGGTACCAGTATTGGTGAGAATGAACCTATCAGAGAAATAGGCCAGGGTGGCCCCTCCTGGATCCCCACAAGAACTAAACTCCAGGGTGGCTCGGAGGAGAGCCAGGCTGTGTTCTGGGAGCAGTCGGCAGGAGAACTATTTACAGCCTGTGAAGGCTCTTGCAGAAACCCGAAGACTCTGTCTATGATGATGTGATGTGGCAGCCAAGGACCAAGTGCCTCTGCTTGTCTGAAAGCGGCAGCTCCAGTGGAGGTGAGTGCCCCTCCCCTGGCCACACACACAAACACACAACCAGGGAACACTGCTCAGCAACTGTCAGGGACCCATCTCTGTCCAACACAAACATGGAAATGAGAAGCTGGGACTCGCCCAGAGCCAAAATCAGCTTCCAGTCAGCCCAGCCTGTGCAGGACAGGTAGTGGGAAATTGTTCCGGGCCACTGGTGGGTTGAGATTTTGAATCACTTTAGTTGTTTTCTGGACACTCATTTCCAGAATCTTGCAACTCTTTGTCATCTGGCTTAAAACAGAGTTTTGAAAGCAGCAAGTGGTGTTTTGCTTCACCAACAATAGTGATCTTCTGAAGGCGGAATCCGGACTCTTCCTCATTTCACTCAATAGAGTGTCTGCAAATGTGGCTGTACATGGAATCCAACATATATAGCCCTGGCACACGGCTGCAAGAAAGAACTTGTGGAAGAAAATGCACTGACATCTTTTGGGGCTTAGGGACCCGGGGAACCAGTGCAATGCATGTATCAAATACTTCTTTTCTGTTTGCATGTTTAGTAAAAATAAGCATTTTAAACGCAGGACTGTTTGTGCAAGCAGAGTTGACCCAGTCCTCATAGAGTCTCTCACAAAGTAGCCCTGGTAACAGGAATCACTGTGGCTTCTCTTCTGAGCTCAGGATTTATAGGCAGGAAAGCAATCAATCATTTCTCCCATGCAGTCACCTGATATTTATTTATTTTTGCTTTGTTTTGGGGTGACACCTCATGGTACTCAGGGCTTACTCAAGGATCCTTGCTCAGGGATCACTCCTAGGAGTGCTCAGGGAAATGCCAGGGATTGAACAGGGTTGGATGCATGCAAGGCAGCACTTTTCTTACCCACAGGACTAGTGCCTGATATTTAAAGGAGCCATACGGATTCTCCTTTGGGTGCAAAGAGACAGTACAGGAGATCAGTGTGCGCCTTGCACGCTGCTGGCCCCAGTTCTACTACCAGCACAGCATACTTCTCACTGTGGACATGACCCCCCACCCGGGACCCCCAAAATAAATAAAATCTCTCTTGAAGGATGTAAATATCTGGCCATTGAAGCAGGAACTGGTGGGGTTGATTTTGTCCCTGTCCTCCAGATATCTTCTGGGTCAGGAGAGATATTGCACGTCTACAGTGCAGCTTTGCCTGTGGAAGCACACCACGGCATGGTTCCCTGAGCACCACTGGGAGTGACACACCCTAGAGCAACAATGAACTGAGAAAAGCCTGGGCACCACCAGGAGTGGCCCCCAAACCAAAAAAAAAAATTATTCAAAGATAAAACTAGTCCAGAGACACCTTTTCCCCTGCTGAGTCTGGGAAAAAATCCTCCAAACATCTGAGGCCATCCTGGGAAATGCTGTCTTGGTGCAGAAGAGATCAGGAGCTCCATGGATGTGGTGGCTGACAGAGGTCTGAGAGATCCTTGCCACCTCAAGGCAGCCTTAGGTCCTTAGGGATAGGAGGAGAGGATGGGAGAGACCTTACCCAAGAGAGAACAGCCTGAAGCTCCCCACTGGGCAGGCAGCAGGGACCAACAGTGTAATAGAGGTTTCTCAAACCTGGTTGCCTAGGCTGGAATCTCACGGTCCCACTGCCCAGTGGGACAAGGCACTCAGTCTCTCCTGCCTGTGTCCACACCTCACAGGACTATTGCGGATCCAATGAGCTGACACATGCTCAGGGGGTGTTAAGCGCCTCATGGGTGTGGCGATTGCCCACATCATCATCCCACCACATCCCACATGGGCGACACTCTCCTCCGGCTGCCAGTGCAGAAAGCAAAAATGTGTCTGTGCTACTTCCCTTCAGGCCTGAGACGGGACTCCCCAGGTCTTGGAGGAAATCGCCTTAGAGCTCCTGAGAGTCTCAGGAATGGTCCTGCATCAGCAGGTCACACGTGCTGGCCCAGCAGAGATGCTCCTGGGAACTCTCACTCCAGGGTGACAGCAGGTGGTTGCGACAGAGACACAGAGGGAGAATGAGACTTGTGGGAGTCATGGAGTGCATCCACAGCACTAGGGAGCAATAGGTTCAGCCAAACTGCGTTCCCACAATGGGCTAAAGAAACTCTGTCTCCTTAACAGTCACCGTTAGCTCTTCCAGCCGGAAGTGTCCACATTCACTGTGATATACATGGTCCCACCTGAGCCTACAAGGCCACTCAGGCCTGAGCCTTGCTCTCGCGCTCGCTCTGGCCAATGGGTTCAGTGACACTTCACTTAGACACACACCATGGTCCAAGGTCTGAGGCATAATCCAAACCTCAGGTGTGAATTCTCTTGATCTTCCAAAGTCATTAATCTGGGGAGATGTTGTCTTCGTGCTTAAGAGACAGCCTCGGGGAAGCCACGTGACCTGAGTCCGGTCACACAGCTACTGGGCTCTGGCTCCACAATCGGCACAGAGCCTGGGCACCCTGGTCAGTGTGAGGGGCTGAGACAGAGACAGTGGGAGCTGCCCCCTCCATGACCCTCCTCATGTTTGTTGTAGACGAGCTCATTGTCAACAGCTCTTTCCTGCCCGACCCTCTAGCCTACCTGCCACTTGCTCCCATCTCTTTGTTTCCATCCCAGTCTCCACTGGCTTGGTGCTGGGGGTGTTTCAGAACAGGCTGTGCACAGAAAGATGCCTCCAAGATCTGCAATGAGTGTGTGTTGGGTGTGTGTATGTGGTGGGGGGTGGGGGGTTGGTGCTGGAGCTGCCAGTATCCGCATCAGAATTCAAGGTGATGCAACTTAAGTGGTCACAACAAATGAGGCAGCACTGAAGCCCACTGTGGTCCCCCAACAAGGGTGCCCACCCTGAGCTGAGTGCATAAGTTAAAATACAGAGAACTCTTTCACCCACACTGGGCAGATGTGGAAGCTCTCTCCCACGTGCCAGCACAAATAAACAGACGCACACAGGAAGTGGGCCTCCCTTCAGCCACGAGCCTCCTCCTGGCCTCTCCTTGGGCCCTGGACACCTCTCGACACCTCTTGTGTCCTTCCCGGCACCAGGAGGAGGTGCCTGGAAAGAAAGATGTTGGCAACATTCAGTTGCAAACTGAACAAGAGACAAACGTGAGCAAAACCCCACAGACATGTGCCCTGAGTAGGGCTCACTTTACTGTCAGCTCTACAGCTACCCCCAGGCCGTGCCCCTGGGACAGGCCCGTGAGGGGAGAGGTGAGTCTCTGCTTTGGAGGAGGCAGAAGGGCACAAAACCAAGCATGCTTTCCAGGCTCTGGAGGCAACCATTTTCCCAGGAGGCCAGCAAACACTCAGAGCACATGTATGGTTCATATTTCCAAACACATTTTCTTTTTCCCTCTCTCTTTTTGGATCAAGTTTCATAGGAATCAATTCACTTTAAGAAAACACCAAAAAGGGGGTCAGAACAATAGAACAGGGGGTAGGGCGTTTGCCTTGAGCATGGGTTCAATCCCTGGCATCCCATATGGTCCCCCGAGCACTGTCAGGAGTAATTCCTGAGTGCAGAGCCAAGAGTAACCCCTAAGCATCACTGGGTGTGACCCAAAAAGCCGAAGACAAAAAATTAAAAATTGACCTTTGAAAAAAACCACACACACACACACACACACACACACACACACCACACACACCAAAAAGTCTTTTAAAAGTACACAGGAAACTGTAAAGTTTTTTTTTTTCTCCCTAATCCACGGTCTCAGGTTAGACAGTCTAGGAGTGCTTTTAGTTTTAGGAATTAAAAAGGGTTTCCTCTCTGCATCTTTCAGTACTCATGGAGCTGAGTGAATGAACGTCTGACAACGTTTTCCTGCACTGCTCTGAGTTACAGCTGCATCCGCTGAGCCCAACCTTTGCTGCACAAACACTTCAACAATGACACTGGCCACAGAGAAGTGGCTTCTGTACTCACATTTGTCCCTGGGGAAGCTGACGGCAATGCAGGATTGGGCTGAGCAAACGGCCTGGCTGGAATTGCCACATAAGAGGTCCCCAGATTTGAGGTATATTCTAAAGGAAAATTGCACAGATGGCATGAAAGTCTAGCCACGCACTTGACCTCCCAAAGTCATGGTTAAAACATAAGTGAAATAATTCCTCTGGCCATATTAATCAGTCATTGGTGGGTATATACCTCAAGGCTTGCTGTTAATCAGCAAAGCCTTTTTAAAATCTGGAAATGTGGGAACCCCAAGCAGTGCTCAGGTCTTATAACCAGTGGTACTGCAGGGGCCATGCAGTGCTGGGGAGAGACCCCAGGTCTCCGGACATGCAAAGCAGGAGCGGCCTAGGATGCTGCCAGCCTCCTCCCCACCCTGCACCTGTCCAGCAAAGCTTTACTGTCTACAGTAAGTCAGAAAAGGCCCAAGTGTCTGGACAGCAAGTCTGATGCATATGACTGACTTGGATCTGTTGGCTTTATAGACACAGCAGGGATGTTTGATCATTAAAGACAGCCAGTGGAGCCAGAGAGGCCTGCGGGAACTTACCCTCATTCCCTGCTGGGTTATACACAGCCACGCTGTTGGGAGAGGTGCACAGCGGTCCCTCAGCGGAGCCAAGCAAACAGCGGACACCAGCACTGCAGAGGAGAGGAAAAAAGGAACCAGAGCCTTCATAAGTTGAACAAAGAATTGTCCTCTAGGCCATCAATGGTACTGCTAGGCACAGATACCAAATAGCAGAGATGTTTCAGTAAAAATTTGCACATGGATGCTCCTAGCAGCACTATTCTCCTTAACCCAATGAAACAACCCAAACATAGATCAAACAATGAGAGGATACAACAAATGTGGTAGATACATGTCCTGGAATATTATTCAGCCATGAAAAGGTCATATTGCTACAAGGTGGATGAACTCAGAAATAGGCTAAGTGAAAACAAGCCTGTCAAAAAGGCCACGTGTTTCATGATCCTACCGACATAAAATGTTTGTGTGAAAGAGAGAGAGGGAGAGAGAGAAAGAAAGAGAGACAGAGAGAGTGAGAGAAAAGAGTAGTAGATAGTTGTACTGGGGCAGGTGGGAAAAAAGAATGAAGAATGAGTGATAATGGGTATGGAGGGGTGATAAAAATGTTCTAGAATTAGACTCTGGTAACAATTGTGCCACCCTGTGAATGTGTTAAATGCTACTGACTTTCAAATGGTCAAAATGGCAAGTGTTAAAGTAAATTTTATGGGGAAAAAGGTGGGAGGTGAGGGAAGCCATAAATAAGAGATTGGTTTTTTTTACAATTGTGGTAAAACCCACATAATACATAACTGACCATCTTAACCACTGCCATGTGGACCAGTCAGTGGCACTGATCACGGCGGTCACATCATTCTGCAACCATCACCATCATCCATCTTGCAGGACTGCAAGTGTCTCCGTGAAGCACTGGCCTCCCGCTGTGTCCTGCCTCCACCCACCACCATCCTACTCTCTGTCACTGTTAATACCACCACCCTAGTACCTCATATAAGTGGCATCCCATGCTATTTGTCCTTTTGTGATGGCTTATTTCACTCAGCATCATGTCCTCATAGTTCACCCATGTTGTAGCAGGTGTCAGAAAGTCCTTCCTTTGTAAGGCTGAATAATGTTCCACTGTGTGTATGTACCTCATTTTCTTCCCTGGTGGGTCAGGCAGTGGACACTGGGGTCGCTTGTACCTGTTGGCTGTCGTGAACAAGAAAGGGAGGCCTTCTGAATGTTCTCATTCTTGGACCCCTGACCCCCCGTTCTCTTTGTCACTGGTGTAGGCATCTTCTCACAATGACAGCAGCCCCTGGGTCACAGGTCCCTGGGGGTCTGCCCTGCCCTGGTGCTCAGCCCAGTAGCCAGGATTCCATTCAGAGGAATCAGGACTCATCAGAACTTTGCTCCACTTTCCAAAGCCAAGCTGAGCTCTGGAGCTGGGGCCGGCCACTGCCCTGCTGCCTCCCCTGGTACTCTGCTCTGGGACACTCCATGGAGGGCACCGCAGAGTTCAGTCCCTATAGGTGATGTTGAGTATTCCCAGGCCAGCACTGGGCCTTCACATTCGCCTTTCCTTTGCTGGGACCCTGTTTTCACCTAGACCTTCTCCGCTCTTCCCAGGACCCCTGTGGCATTCTCACTAGGACCCTCCTGAACACTTTGTTTGGAGGAGTCATACCCAGCAGTGCTCAGAGGCTACTTTTGGCTCCGTGCTCTTGAGTCACTCCTGACAGTGCTCCAGGGGATCATGCAATGCTGGGGGTCAAACCCATGTCCCCCCCACACACACTCAAAGCATATGCTTTTCCCATTGAGCTTTTTCTCCCGCCCTCCTGAATATCCCTATTTAAAATTAAGCTTTTCCAGAACTATTTGGGAAAATAATGTCCTACATAGCTATACTCAAAGCTTTCTTTGAAAACTGAGATGTGTTGAATTAAGTCTGCAAATACAAAGTTGATTCTTTTCAAAATATTATACTAATAACTCTAAAATATCAAATAGGACTAAGAAATATGACTTGCTTGAATTAAATGAGAGAAAGGGGAGAAAGGGCTGCAAAGTTCAAAAAGAGAACTCCCAGAATGACCACCAACTGGGAACTCTTTGGTACTATTGCGGCAACATGGGAAAATGCCATTGTTGACAACATTGATGAGGAATACGATCAATTGGTTCAGCACCTCCATGAATGTGCGAGGAACGCCAAGAGAGAGATAGCCACAAAAAATCGCCTATCTTTGAAAACTCTTGAGCTAATTCGCCAGCGTGGTTTGGCGCATGCCTCAGGCAACCGCAAGCTAACGTCTGAGCTCACAAAGCAGTGCAGAGATGCGATCAAGGAAAACCTCAAAGAGAGAAGAGCAGAAGTACTGGTAGATGCGGTAGAAGCCGGGAAAAGTATTCGTAATGCCCGCCTGTCCTTCGCCAACTACAAGACCAAGATGACTGCCCTCCGACGTCCTGATGGATCCATCACATCCTCCAGAATGGCAATGGAGAAGATTATCCATGACTTCTACTCAAATCTCTTCGATAGCCATGTCCACTTGCCGACATACCAAATTCCACAGGATGGATATGTCGTTCCCAACGTTCTCCCTTCTGAAATCCGACACACCATTTCGTCGGTAAAGAAACAAACAGCACCCGGCCCAGACAAGGTCAGACCTGAACACCTGAAGAACCTGCTGTCAGTACTCATCAATACACTGGCTCGGCTCTTCACTTGCTACCTGTCTGAATGCAAGGTTCCATCCCAATGGAAAACCAGCAGGACCGTACTACTGTTCAAGAAGGGAGACATCCATGACATTGGCAACTATCGCCCGATCTGCCTATTGTCTGTCATCTACAAGTTGTTCACTCGAGTCATCCTAAATAGGATTGGCAGAACACTAGATGAAGGACAACCATGCGAGCAAGCCGGGTTCTGCAAAGGTTTCAGCACCATCGACCATATCCACACGATAACCAAGCTCATTGAGGTTTCTCGGGAGTTCAAGATGCCGCTCTGTTTAACGTTCATTGATTTAAAGAAGGCCTTTGATTCTGTTGAGATGGAAGCGGTCATTGAAGCCCTAGCCAATCAGGGCATTCAAGCCCAATACATCAGGATCCTCCGTGAGCTGTATTGCGGATTCACTACCAGGATCTCACCATTCTACAAAGAAGTGATCGTTGATGTCAAGAGAGGGGTGCGGCAGGGTGATACCATTTCACCGAAACTCTTCAGTGCCACCCTCGAGAACATCATGTGACGACTGGAATGGGAAGGAATGGGAGTGAAGATAGATGGTCGGCAACTACACCACCTCCGCTTTGCTGATGACATTGTTTTAATAACACCAAACATCAGCCAAGCGGCACAAATGCTGGCCGACTTTGACCGTGAGTGTGGAAAGGTAGGACTACAGCTGAATCTTTCGAAGACAATGTTTATGAGAAACAGCCTCGTTCCTGATGCCCCATTTGCTCTCAACGGGACGACCATCTCCGAATGCAACAGCTATGTGTACCTAGGTCGAGAAGTCAACATGACAAATGACCTGGCACCCGAGCTGCGCAGGAGGAAGAGAGCGGTTTGGAACGCCTTCAAGAACGTCAAAGAAATAGCTAAGAGGACGAAGAACCTCCGGCTCCGGGCACATCTCTTTGATTCCACTGTTCTTCCTGCATTAACATATGCCTCAGAGACCTGGGCCCTACGCAAACAGGATGAGAACGCTATTCAGGTCTCCCAAAGAAGAATAGAAAGAGCTATGCTTGGAATATCATGTGACGACTGGAATGGGAAGGAATGGGAGTGAAGATAGATGGTCGGCAACTACACCACCTCCGCTTTGCTGATGACATTGTTTTAATAACACCAAACATCAGCCAAGCGGCACAAATGCTGGCCGACTTTGACCGTGAGTGTGGAAAGGTAGGACTACAGCTGAATCTTTCGAAGACAATGTTTATGAGAAACAGCCTCGTTCCTGATGCCCCATTTGCTCTCAACGGGACGACCATCTCCGAATGCTCCGAATTCTTTCTCTTCACTCAAATGAGAGAAAGAATCCGGAGTTCTGACATCCGTCGATGATCAAGAGTCAGGGATGCTGTCTCGTTTGCCAAGGCGTCGAAAATCAGATGGGCTGGACACGTAATGAGATTTGGAGACCACCGCTGGACTAGAGCTGTTACCGACTGGATTCCACGGATGTCAAAAGACCGCGTGGCCGCCCACCTACCAGATGGTCAGACTTCTTCGTCAAGATCATGAACGATCGGTTTGAGGCCCTTCATGTTCCCGGAACAAACAGATGCCATTGGGTTACACTAGCACGCGACAGGGACAAATGGAGACGTTACTGGTGCCTGCTCGAGCAAATTGACGACTAACGGGAAGTTAAGTGATTAAGTGAAGTGAATTAAATGTTGGGAGCCTGAAAATCATATGTATGAAGGCCACACCCTGCCCCACTGCACATCTCCACCTGCCCGTGCACATATGCTCACGAGCACACACACACACACACACACACACACACACACAAAGTTCTGTCTCGCACATGAAAATACAAAACTCATGTGCACACACTCAGACATGCAAAAATGCACACACAGACACAAAGACATACTTTGTGCCCCTGGCCTAATGCTCTTTTCTGCTTGGCCTATACACCCACTGATGTTATACAACTTGCATGTTTATTTCCTTTCTCCTCTGCCACCCTTAAGTGTAAGCAGGAGGGCCTTTGCTGCTGTGTCTGCTGCCGTGTCTGAGCACTGAGGACAGATTGTGCCTCAGAGAAGATGCCACAGAGCCACACAGGAACCAGAACTCACTTTTCTGAGAAGGCCAGGCATTTCTGCGCATGGAGTTTTCCTTTCACGTGCAGCTCCCAGTCCTGGGTCAGAAGGAAGGGATGGTGAGAAAGCAGCACTGGGTCAGGAAAGCAGCAGAGGGTGGCCTTCCTGGCCCCATGGGAGGCAGCAGCACCCGGCATCCCTCCCCCAGGCTCGGTCCCCACGCCCACCCCACCCTCTTCATGCCCTCAGCACCCATCAGCCCATCAGGCTAAGGTCGACAGAACACTGGTTCCCTCTTCCTCCCAGTGGACCGTTGTGAGTGAAGGTCCCACTGCACCTCCCTCATCCATCCATCCGTTCCTTCATACCCCCACCCGAGAGTCCACAGGCTCTACTCTCTGACTGGGAGAATCTGGCAAGTAGAATTCCCTGAGCGGCAAAATCTTAGAAGAGGCTCAAGAGACAAACTTCCTCCCTCACGTCCCAGGGCCACTGCCCCTCACCTGGGATATGGACTTACACATACATATGTGTGCAAGGTGATTTCTCCTCCCAAGCACTGAAGGATGGTGCTGGCGGGGAGGGCCAAGAGCGGGAAATGGTGTAGCCCAGCACCCAAAGGGGCATCCAGGTCTCTACTCGCCCCATAGAGCTATGGGCTGGGACCAGCCGTTTCTACTCTGTGGGCCTGTTTTCACATCTCTGAACTGGGTATCATGACAGTCTTGCCACAGTGCAGTGATTGCCAACAAAGTCTAATGTCATGATGATGAGCTCCAGAACCTTGCACTGTGTCACCACCGACACACAGGAAAGAGGGGAACCTGGTGGGCCCCAATATCCCCCAATCACCATGGTGAAAGTCAATCTTGCAGGGGCTCTTGGACCATCTCAGAGGTCGGAAGCCAAGGCCCTCTGTCCTAATTTGTCTGGGTCCTGCTGGCGAAGGACTATCTTGCCCCTGACTTCAAGATCTGCCTTTTCTTTCCTTTTCATACTCAGGACACTGGGTTCTCAAGAACACCAGTTCTCTGGGGAACAGAGGACACCCCTTTCCTTAAGGACCCAGGTGACTTTATATGTCTCTGTCTAACCCAAGTGGGGTCCCTTAGTCTCTCTCAGTCTCTCTCTCTCCAGTTCTCTTTTTCTTTTCTTTTTTTTTAACTTTTTGGGTCACACCTGGCAATGCACAGGGGTTGCTCTTGGCTCTGCACTCAGGATCACTCCTGGTGGTTGCTCGGGGGACCATATGGGATGCTGGGAATTGAACCCAGGTCAGTTGCATGCAAGGCAAATGCCCTACCCACTGTGCCATTGCTCCAGTTCCTCAGTCCAGTTTTCTCAGCTCGAGACATGGGCAAGTCTCTTCTTGGCCTTACAGCGAGGGGCTGCCCAGATGCAGCTCCAAAATCTCGCTGGCTTCTAATACCTGTGATTGTTACCAAGGATTCTGGAGGCCAGTGAGCAGACTCCCCCAGGCTGCCGGAGACTCACCTTCAGGTCAAACACCTTCTTGTCGCAGATGCTACAGACGTGCGGCAGGTGGAGGGGGGCCACGCCGTGGAAGTCATTGAGCTCATGCGCCTGCAGGGGCCTCACGGGCAGCATGACCTGGTCCTCCTTGGCCCGTGGCCGGCCCCCACCAAAGCCCGCCTTGCTATTGTTCAGCCGGCCCCCAAAAGAAGGCGGGGTCCTGTCGGGGGTGGGCTCCTCAGGGTCATAGAGCTCATAGGGCTGGCTGGGGGCTGGGGGCCATAGGCTGGGGCCTGCGAGGAGATCCGGCTTGCTCTGGCCGGAGAACCCATGGGCACTCTCCCACTGGCCACTGGCGCCCGGCAGCAGTGACCCCACCTCGCCTTTCAGGCCTCCTGCCTGCTCAGTGGCAAACGTGCCCACCACGTGTGACCCCCCTTGGGAGGTGGGCCCGTAGAAGTCCTTGGCAAAGGCAGCTTGGCCGTCTTGTCCCGAGTGGCCATAGTGCCCTTCGTAGGTGACGCTGCCCGAGGCAGAGGCCGGGGCAGGCAGGAAGCTGGGCTGCCCGTCTGTCTCCGAGCCATATGCCTGACCCAGGTTGGCTTTGCCATAGTCGTAGAAACCCGCGGCCGCTGGTGCAGCCCCAGTCTTGCCGATGCCCAAGAGGACTGCAGGCTGGGTGGGAGTGGGAGGCACGACCCCACTGAAAGGATGCATCACCACGGCACCGGGGGGCTGGCTGGGAAGGCTCACAGCGGGGCCCGGGCCACGGGTCTGGCCCGGGGATGAGAAGGCAATTGTATTTGCGGGGAAGCGGGCACTGGGCATAGTTGCAGCATGTTGGGGCACCCCCGTATGGCTGGGAGGGGCACTGATCACGGACGGATGCCTCAGCTGGTTGAAGAGAGGCTGGGACATGGCCACTTTGGAGAGGACTTGGTTCAGGACCGTGGCGGCTGCGGTGTTGTTGGTGACAGCTGTCTGTGCCAACTTCAGCCGGTGGAGGGTGAGCTGGGCTTGCAGCTGGGCCAGCTGGAGACTGGCCGGCGAAGGGAGCAGAGGGTTCGGGTTACTGACCGAGAAGGGGTTCTTGTCCAGCAGCTTGGCGGCACTGCAGGAAGAGAAACATCTCAATGTATAGCTGGTTTTCACCAAGGTAGATAGTGGGGGGGGGGGGGGGTGTGCATGCTTGTTTCCCATGGTATCCCCTCCCCCCTAAAGAAGATCCTACTCACATACATTCCATATGAAGGCAAGTACGCAAAGTATACTTGCACAGATATGCCTCTTTTCTTATCTCCAGCAGAAAACCAACTATGGACAGAATGGTCAACCTTACCCCCAATCAAGGAGAAGCTAAAACTGTTGGAAACAAACCATTTTTCTAATAAAATAGCATTAGTATTTTACAAATTTTAAAATAGCACTTGGGGGTCGGAGCTAGAGTACAGTGGAGAGGGCGTTTGCCAGGTTCAATCCCCGGCATTTCATATGGTCCCCTGAGCACCACCAGGAATAATTCCTGAGTGCAGAGCCCGAAGCATTGCCAGGGGTGGCCCCAAAAGCAAAATACATAAAATAAAATAAAATAGCCCTCTGAGCTGGTGAGATTAAGTGGAATGCAAACAAAGTGAATGTTCATCTAAACCAGCGTTTTTCAACCTATTCAGGACTGGGGTACCCTGTGAACCTATTTCCTTCCTGTATGCATTTTGACCCTCAAATCTGCCATGCCCTCCCCATTTACACAACTTTTACCTGTGGTCCCCTTGAAATATCGTGGGGGTCCCCAACAGGATCACATGACCCCTGTTGAGTAATGCTGGTCAAAATATATTTATACACCTCTGTTACAAGAACTCTGGTGATATACACTCAGTACAGCCCTATTGTTTGATCCCAAGATTCAATTCTATCCATCTAGCTTAAATAAAGAATCACAATAAAGGCAAAACTTGATACCCAAAGATGAGTCATAATGCCATGTTGTTTTTAGAAAGTTGAAAATTACAAATGTTCAATAATAGGAAGAGAGGGAGGTTTTAAACAGAGTAAATTGTGATATAGCCATATAATGAAAATTTAAGTAACCATTTATTCTGTTTAGATTTCTACTTTACTATGATATTTAAGGCATCCAAAATAGTGTACCATGTACCACTCTGAAAAGAAAATATTTGGACCAAAGAGTAGCTCACAGTAGACTGCATGTCACACACGTATAAATGAGACCCTGGTTCAAATTCCCTGTACCACAAAGCATAAAATGAGATGGTTTAGGACTTCCTCTATTAAAACAATAAAAAGATAGAAAAAGGTTTCAGGGCAGAAAAGATAATATAGGAGATAAACTGCTGACTGTGCATGTAGCCAATCTAAGTTTAATCCCTGACATCACATATGGTCCCCTAAGTCTTGCCAGGAGTCACTCCTGAGCACAGAGCCAGAAATAACCTTTGAGTACCACTGGGTGTGACCCAAACTCCCATCTCCCCACAAACAAAAACATTTCAACACATTAAACTCCCCTGGGTATCTGTTCCCCCTCCATACCTCACCTCTTCATTGCCAATGGTAAACACTAAATTTGGTAAGGTCACTGTATGCAAAATATAACTTTGTGGGTTTTTTTTTCCCACCAAACATGAGATCCATATATGTTACGTGAAAAAAACAGGCTTCACCACTGAACAGATGGGGAATTATGTACATGTTTTATACCAAATGTATTTTCACCTCACCTTCATTTCATATTAAAAGTAGTACAAATAATGTGTTCTCCAGTCCACTTTCAAAGCATCGGGAAGAAAACATAAAAATTCCAGTGAGTAATATTCCATCCGTATTCCAGTTTTGATTACTATTTTGATTACTAGTTTTATAATATAGCTTGAAGTTAGGGAGAGAAAAGCCTTCCATCTTTGTTCCCCCTAGGATTACTTTGGCTATTGGGGTGGGGGAGGGGGTTATTACTCCATCTAAATTTTAATAAGCTTTAATCCATGTCTTTAAAACCAGTCATGAGTATCTTTTTATAGGAACTACATTAAATCTGTATAATGCTTTGAGCAAGATTGTCATTCTGATAATATTAATCCTTCTAATCCATGAACAGGAGATGTGTTTCCATTTCCTCCTGTCTTCTTTTTAGTAGAGTTTTATAGTTTTCTTTGCATAAGCCTTTCACCTCTTTTGTTAAGCTGATTTCTGGTACCTGATTTTCTGGGGCACAATTGTGAATGGTATTGTTTTTATAATTTCTCTCTCTTCTGCTGCAATATTGGCATAGAGGAAACCTATGGATTTATGTGCATTGATTTTGTAGCCTGCCATTTTACAAGTTTATTGTTTCTTGGAGCTTTTGGGGGGAGTCTTTAGAATTTTCTAAGTACAGAATTATGTTATCTGCATATAGTGCTATTTTTACTTCTTTACTTATCTGCATGTCCTTAATATCTCTCTCTTGTCTATTGCTATGGCAAGAACTTTCAATACCATATTGAACAGTCGTGGTGAGAGTGGGCAACCTTGTCTAGTGCCTGACCTTAAAGGTTTTCAGTTTTTCACCACTGAGTATGATGTTTGCTGTGGACTTGTTAGTAAATGGCTTTGATTATGTTCAAGAAAGTTCCTTAAACCCCTATTTTACTGAGTATTTTTTAACATGAATGTGTTTTGTATATTGTCAAATTATTTGCATCTATTGAGAGACAGATCTTTATTGAGATCTCTATTGAGAGGCATATGGACAGTTAAATTTCAATTAAAAAACCAAGAAATAGGCCACACCAACTTACCTACCAGCTCTGCTCTACAGGTTCACGACTAAATCTCAGCCCAGATACAAACCACACTGCTAAAATCGAACCTTTCTAGCACCATGCACAGCACCACCATTCACGAGTACACTGGTCTCCTGGCTGAAAACTCTGCCTTGCCAAAGCTCCAACAGCTGCACACACACCCCACAGTTGCTGCTGTGTCAACTGCCCAACTCTACTGCTTCACAGCTGATCTCTGCAGAGTCCCCAAATCATGAAAATTCCAGGTACACCAGTTTTCAGGATCAGACCTCTGGGGTTTTCTTGGAGTAGGAACCAGCAGCCTCCTCTCACATATTCTCCCCCCACCCCAACTTCCAGAAGTCCTGGAAGCCACACCCAACATTCCACACCCACCATCATGTAAACTCTTCGCCTCTGGGGCCTGGAGACACCTCCAACTTTTGCAATACTGACATCCCAGTAGGGGCACACCAAATTAGATGAGAAAGTAACATAGAAGCCAACTAAGCTCAGCAAGCAAAAGCAGTAACACAGAAGGCTCAACTAGTGACAAACTGCTTAGAAAATCATCAGATAAGGACCCCTAACCATGGTGAGTTATAACAACTTGTAAAACTTTCACTAAAGTTTTTTTTTTATAATTCTTTAGCCATTTAGCTGTAACAATGTAAAAGAAATTATATTCTGCCTTGCTATGGACACAGGCTTGAAGGGTGGTTGGGTAAATGAGGGTAATGATAGAGGGAAGGTCACACTGGTGGTGGGACTGGTATTGGAACATTGAATATCTGTAAAAACTTTATTATGAACAACTTTGTAAGCCACGGAGTTTAAATAAAGAAAAGAAAAAATATGAAGCAGAGCAAGGAAAGCCTCTTCAGCAAATGGTGCTGAGAAAATTGTAAAAAAAAAAAAAGGATTTCGACCTTTTTCTAGCACAAAAGTAAAACTGAAATGGTCTAAAGACCTTGATACCAGACCTGAATTCATAGGTTACATTGAGAGCTGGAGTGATAGCATAGCGGGTAGGGCGTTTGCCTTGCATGCGACCAACCAGGCTGACCAGAGTTCAATTCCTATGCCCCTCTCAGAGAGCTGGCAAGCTACTGAGAATATCTTGCTCAGAAGGCAAAGCCTGGCAAGCTACCCATGATGTATTCGATATGCCAAACACAGTAACAAGTCTCATAATGTCACTGGGCCCGCTCGAGTAAATCGATGAACAACGGGAGGACAGTGACACTGAGGAAAACTTATGTAGAACACTTCATGACACTGAAGCTAAGGGCATCTTCGATGATTCAATACCATTGGCAAAGTAAACTGAAATACGGCAAATAAATTGAACTATATCAAACTAAGAAGCTTCTGCATTGCAAAGGAAATGGTAACCAGAATAGAAAAACATCCCACAGACTGGCAGAAAATATTTGCGCACCACTCAATCAATAAAGTTCCAAGATTAAGGCACTAGAGCTCTACAAAAAAATTTAAAATTAAAAATGGGGGAAGAGATGAGTAGAATCTTCTTCAAAAAAATGTACAAAAGATGGCAAAAAGGTATATGAAAAATGCTGTGCATCACTTATCATCAGGGAAATGCAAAAAAACAGCAACAAGAACAACAAGAAGATATCACCTCACAGCCGTGAGACCAGTACACATCACTAAGAACAAAAACAACCAATGCTGTTGTGGGTGTGGGGGTAAAGGGAACCTCATTCACTGCTGGTGGGAATGCTGAGTGATCTGGCCTCTTTGGAAAACAATACAAACACTCCTCAAAAAACTAGAAATTGAGTTTCTATGTAATCCAGGAATTCCACTTCTTGGCATCTATCCCATAGACCCAAAACTCTATTCAGAAAAAAACATTCACACTCCTGTGTTCATTGCAGCATTACTCACACTAGCCACAATGTGGAAATAACCGAAATGCCCAAGAACAGATCACTAGATTAAAAAATAAATAAATTAGGGTAGAATTCTTGAGTGGAGAGCCAGGAAAGACCCCTGAGCATAGCCAGGGGTGGTCCCAAACCAAAACAAAATAACCGAACGATGGTACACATACACAACAGAGTACTACTTGGCTTTAAGAAACAATGAAACCATATTTCATTGCTGCTATGTGGATCCATATGGAGAGTATTATATTAAATGCAGTTAGTCAGAGGAGAAAGACAGACACAGAATGATATCTCACACATGTGGGATATAAAGAATCACAGTAGGGAAATAACAGAAGCCCCAAGACAATAGAAACTGAGAACTGGTCTTCAGTAGAAGCTTACAGGGTTTGGGGGGATTTAGGGGGAGGGGCAGA